ATATTTTAATTATATATTTATTTATGCTCCAAAAATTAATTATTAAAATATGCCACACTTTAGATGAAGAATTAATTTGGTCGAGATAAACTATAGTCCATATTTATGATCGACATTGGATTAGAAGTTACAATTAAATCAAGAATTTTAATTCAGTCTTCCTGAGTATAAAACCATAAAAGTATTTAAGTTAATATAATTTTATTGAATAAAGAATTCAATATTCTATTAAATTAAACGTATTATTTATTATTAATTTTGCAGAAAGACTTCTCACGTCTCAAAAATATTAGAAAGACAAATGCAAAATTTCAAATTTAATTAAAGCATTTTGTTTTCTTTTAAATTTTATATTTACATTTATATTATAACTTTCTACTTTCTATAAATTTTCTTTACTTTTCAAACAATTTTTTTTCCTGTTTGGAGTCTACTTATTCCAAGTTTTACATAATTTTAAATAAAAACAAGTTATATCATAGTAGACCCAAAGGAATATTATTATCGGTAGCCATGTCTGTTGCACTGCAGTCGACCAGAGGGGAGAGGAAAAGGAGATAAAAGCAATCGATCTCGGATCCTCTTGATGATACATTGNTCTTCTTCAATTAACGCGTAACAAAGAAACTCAACAATTGATCTTTCATTGTTTGGCTCTCCAAAAATTAATTTTTAAAATATGCCACACTTTAGATGAAGAATTAATTTGGTCGAGATAAACTATAGTCCATATTTATGATCGACATTGGATTAGAAGTTACAATTAAATCAAGAATTTTAATTCAGTCTTCCTGAGTATAAAACCATAAAAGTATTTAAGTTAATATAATTTTATTGAATAAAGAATTCAATATTCTATTAAATTAAACGTATTATTTATTATTAATTTTGCAGAAAGACTTCTCACGTCTCAAAAATATTAGAAAGACAAATGCAAAATTTCAAATTTAATTAAAGCATTTTGTTTTCTTTTAAATTTTATATTTACATTTATATTATAACTTTCTACTTTCTATAAATTTTCTTTACTTTTCAAACAATTTTTTTTCCTGTTTGGAGTCTACTTATTCCAAGTTTTACATAATTTTAAATAAAAACAAGTTATATCATAGTAGACCCAAAGGAATATTATTATCGGTAGCCATGTCTGTTGCACTGCAGTCGACCAGAGGGGAGAGGAAAAGGAGATAAAAGCAATCGATCTCGGATCCTCTTGATGATACATTGGAGCATTCTTTTCTCAATTAAACACTTTTCACTTTCTTATTCTTTTCGTTGAAAATATATAAAATTCGTTGTTAAGGTAAATGTAAAAATTATATTAAATTTTTCTGCCCCTTTCCTTTTATAAACGAAATCAGGAAACTTTCAACACGATAGTTCTACATTACAAAAAATAATATTTTAACCTCTAACCGATATATCGTTTCCTCTTATTTCCAGATGCGCCTCTTCCCAGCAACACACTTTATTGCATAATTTCCAATTTCTACCTTCTCCGATAAATATAAAATATTCTATATTCGTAAAAAATTTTATCGTTGGAGAATATATGTATGCCATATTTCACCTTTATAACTCTTTTATATTTGGTTAGCAAATTATGTGAGATTTTGTCCTATAAAAATAAAAAAGAATTACTTACTATTATTATCAATTCTTTCTTTTTATTTTTAATTAGCATATTTTTATGCGAAATTTTAACTCTGTCCTTTCGCTGAATTTTCCTAGACGTTTTTACGATCGCTCAATCTGTTGCGAGAAATCTTATATTGAGAAGAAAAGTTATAATTCTTAAAAGGAAAAAAAGATATATATTAAATTAATAAATTTTAGATGAGTTATATTTTTATTCATAAAAATTTAAATTATTTTCTTATTTTAATATTTATTTGTGATTAATTTTTAACTTTATGTGCCTTACCAACTGATCAATATCATTTGCTGTATATACACTATATATAGTAACTCGTTTTCGATAATAGACTTTATAAAAATGTAAAAATTCCATTCTGACTTTATATATTAGAAATAATAATAAAAAATGTGTTTATTGGAATGATATTTCTACAGATAAATGTAACTAAAACCTATAAATAACAAGTATAGCGGTAAGAATGATAAGCATTGCAATAAATCTCTAGGCAAACATTTCTTTTATTTATAAATTCGTTTTATTAAGCTTCAGATAGAAAAAAAAATATTAGCAAAAAAAGAAAGAAAAAACTAAAAATAGAAAATTTATACTCCTTAAGAACTTTTAAGTTTTTCCGCTATTTTCTAATGTAAATATCTTTTAAATAGCATTAATGATCCAATTTGAAATAAAAGTTGATACGTCTAATTGGATTGAATTTATCCAGTTTTAATACATTTAAAATAGAAACAAAAATTTTAAGAGAGTTTTTAATTTCAAAAAAGATTATTTTTTCCATTAATTAATATTTCTTTTAAAGTAATGTAATAATCCAATTTATTTATTATTCTTGTTTTCATTCTGTAAAGAAAAAATAAATTTATTAAAATGGGTAGAATACAATACTATTTGTAATTTTATCCTTTTCTGAACAAAGCTTTCGGGAAATGTAAAGAATAATTGCAATTACTGAACACGTTATTGAGGTATAATCCCAGTTTAATATCATTATCATATTGAAAAATTACTTTTTTTGTGTTTACTTCTTAAAGACTTTCATAACTTATTTTCGTTTTTAAGTTATTAATTATAAGTTTAGTTAATTTGAATGCTTTTTAAAATTTTTTTTCAAGTATTACGTAATTAAAAAATTGTAAAAAATAATTTTAGAAATGAACTAAGTCGTATTAAAAAATTATTTATTACAGCTATTTTTATACTTTATTTAAGAATCAAATCATAGGGCCGAACGGTTGAGGCAGTGTTTTTCAACTTTTTCTAATAGTGGCACACCCTACTTTATAAATGTAGATCTAATGCGCTTTTCGTACTTTTGGTAACATACGTAAGAAGTGTTAAGGCGCTGCTCAAAACTATATTTCGCGAGACCCCAAAAATCTCTTTATAGCACCTTACTGTACCGCGGGACCTCAGTTGAAAACCATATTGTGGTCTCTGCTTTCTGATGTGGGAGGACTCGAACTAGTCAGAAAACTCCAAGAATTTTTGGAGGTTATCCGTCCCAGATATGTCTGGTCCTATTTCCTCACTAACTGATTACTCCATTGTGTGCCTGGAGAACCCACAAAAGACCATCTCAGTGCCCACAGGGCGGAAAGAGCAAAAAAGAAGTTTGAAAACATAAAAAAAATATAGAATAATAATAATATTTCTCTTTCATATTTTCTTTTCTTTTTTTATAACTTAGAAGAATTTTATGAAGATATTTAAATTTATCATAAATCTTTATTAAAAGTATCGACGATACTCAAAGTAACAATTCTTCAAGTTAATGATCCTTTTTATTCAATTTAATGAATTATTCATAACATTAGCATAATTATTCTTATAGTCATAAATTTAGTATTTATTGAAACGATCAATTATATTCAGTTAATCGTAAATTTTAAAAATGTGAAAGTTGTCACCCCGCTTCAATTAACGATGGGATTTTTACAATAAAGAACTCATCGCTTCGTATAGGAGATGCGATTTGTAGAAAGGAATTTTTGAATATAAAAATTTTTATATAAGTTATAATTAGTAAAGAACTTTATTATTTGTAACATAAATTTTGTAAATGAAGATAAGCGTTTACTCTCTTATTAGCGTTGATGATACAGATCAATAAGCAAAATTTTCTGTTGAAAAAAAACCAGGCAAATGTAGCCACTTTAAATGCAAACTTTTACCTCCACGAGAAGACATACTTATTGAAATGAAGTCGAAGATTTCTTTTATTCTTCAATATAGAATGGCTGCGCAAGCAGTTCTTGAAAATTTAATATTCACCGAAAGTAGTGGATGAGAGTTCATTGCAATATTCAACCATTATCTAGTACAATTGACTCGATCGATCGAACATTATACATGCCAAGGTATCCATTGTCTTTCCTACTATCATTGCCAGATTAAACGTGACGCGTTAAGTAGGGTGTCTGGCGTAGCTTCAACCTCACAATTTATGTTATTAGTGGAAAAAGTCCAAAGTTAAGTGGACCGAACACGCTGGAAACCAAAGAAAAATCACCATTCCTTCGGGCGTACATTATTAACTGTCTTTTTCTTGACATCTGTCAATTGTCCCGAGCGAAAACCTGAATAACTTTCTAATAAGGTTATAAATTCTTCAAATAACAAAGTGGAAATTATTTATCTTAAGAATATTGTAGAAAAAATTTCTTTTAAAATGTTCCATGTTACTTTTTCGTTCTATAATGAATGTTAAAATGGGAAAAGAAAATGAATAAATGTATGTTTTTATTAAAATACATTTTTTAACATCATATTTACATTTTACATCTGGTTGTTATTTTTAGAGTTGCTGTATGGTAATGTTTCTTTTCACCGAAATAAATGCAAATTATTTTACATTATTTCTTTTTCCTCCCCCCTCTTTTTTTGACAGAAATTCATGAAAGTTGAGAAAATGGAAATTTTTAGAAAAAATTTATTTATATATATTTTTTTTAAGATTAGAAAGCAAAAGTAAATATTAAATTTTAGTGATATCAAATTCTTGTATATTATGTTTTAAAAATAAATCAAATATTTTTAANAAAAAAATATATTAAAAGATTATATTATTTAATTTTTTTAAGCTTTAAATTTTTTAAAATATATTTTAACTTTTAATAATTTTTAATTTTTGTAATTAAAACTTAATATTTGCAATTTTATTTTCTAGCTTAATTAGTTAATTTGTTATTAATTATAAATATATTATTTATCCAGTTTAGAAAACGGATTTTGTATAACGATTTAATCATTTATTTTCATAAATACAAACAAAATACTTTTTTTTAAATTTGTAAAATGGAATTTTCTTTTTTGTATCATTTAATATAAAGAAACTTATCGAGTGTGATATGACTAGAAAAAACATAAAATATTGGTCGGTGAATTCGATAGCAGAATACAATCTGTATTCAACACGTCTTTAATAATATCAATAAACGGATTAAAGGATCAGAACCATTCAAAATTCAATATGTACAGCTTTAAAAAGTTACCCAGAATACAACATCTGTGGACACTACAATATGCATGGCTTCTTCGGGTGAAGGCTAGACGCGAAAATCACAACTTCCCATCCAGAGAAAACGTCATTGCCGCTTTTTTTTAATTTTTTTTTTTTAAATAACAAAGTGCACGATATGCCGACATATACAATCGCTGTTACTTCCATTCGGTAACAGAATTTCCAAGAGCGAAATAATTTCTCTCAGTTTTCCAATATACTTGTCACTTGCATTTGTGATGTTCAACAGAATTGTTTCTTGCAAATCGGTGATGCCGCTGTGATGAACATTTTCCCTATCATTGGCACCGTGATTGCTAGTGTCGTTATCCACACTTTTGACCAAGGAATAAATACTCGAACTCCTGCCGTCAAGTCCCTTGTCATGTCTAGAAAATTAAAAAGTAATCTACTATAAATTAATAGTAAAATTAATGTTTTATTTTTCTCTTGTTTAAAATTAACAAATTTATTTAATATCTGAATTTTTTTTAAATGTTAGAAAACAAAAATGAAAATTGTATAAATTTTTAGACACTTTAAAATTTGATTTGTGTGTGTAACATTATTAAAATTTAATGTTTCAAGAAGAAATGTGCAATAATTTTATGGACACATATAAATTTAATGTATTGTCAGAATAACTTTCTTTGAGATGTCGGAAAAATGACTAGACAACTAAACGCATCAATATATTTATAAAGCAATCGTTAGAGATAAACATTATTCTTGAAATAATAAAATAATGTTATAACAATGTACAGCGACTTTGATCATTTCCATTAAAGAACTTAAGCCCATAATTCTAACTTTAAATAGTGTTTCTTCATCATTTTTTTAATAGTTTTTTCAATCCGTTTCTGGCCTTCAAACTAAGACATTATTTAGAAATAAATTTAAAAACCGACTTAATCGTTAAGGTAGGCTACTGTTTTTAAGATTTTTATGAAGTAAACTTAAAAGAAAAAATGTTATAAACATAATTAGCTTGGTTTAAATCAAAGATAAGCTTAGTTATTAGTTATTCCTTTATAATTAAATTTATACGAATATGTAATAAATATTTAAATGAGTCTATCCTTGTTATGTGCAACATTATATTTTATATATATATTTAAACAAATATAATAAAGCAAGAATAAAATATGAAAATGTGTATAAAAATTTAATTTAAAATTACTTTCATAAATAAATTAATTATTATTTTTAATATCGCAAATTACAAAATACTGAAAACATTAGTTTTAATTTCGACAAATTTGTTTTTCGCTGAAGTAATACATTCCTTTAGTGAATTAATTCAAAGCTATTTATAAGAGAAAGTATCATTTATTTCTGGCGAACGTATTTCCGATGAGATTTTTCAGAATCGGATAATATATTACTTGTTTTCTTACCCTAAACTACTATTGTAGACTTAGACATTCATCACTCTAAGTAAGGAAAGTACTTTGTATCCGTGGCAAATTATTTTTTAAAGATCATCATTTAAATTCGGACAACAATTGAATGTTTCGTTCCAATCTGCGAGCTTCATTAGGCAACAATAAAGCATTCATGAGATAAAACCCACAAAGCATACAACATATCCTGTTTGTATTAAAAGAGCTAGAGCTATCCAACATTTTTCTTTCTGGTCTTCCAAGGACCAACTTCCATCTTGCCAATAGAGTTAACGAGACGTGGAATGCCTAACGAAGCCTGACCGATAGTATCATATCAGTTGTTTGCTCCAAATAATCTTAGATCCAGGGCATCGGATCAGATCTAGCTGCTTCTAATGCATCGCTTTCTTTTCTTTTTCTATATTCCTTTTTCGGTTAAAAAACCCTGTCAAAACTCCCAATCTTCTTTGTAATCATTCATAGAACTCCTGCTTCTTTCTATATTGATATCACATTAGTTAATTTACCACCAATATAATCCATTAACTTAATTCTGGAGTTGAAAGCATCAATAAAGTATGTCTAAGGCGATTTAGAAATTATCTTGAGACCCTAAGAGGATAAGGAAGAGTAAGTATTGTGCAGTCTAAAATTAGTTGGCGAATGAAATATAGAAAAATTTCCTTTTTATTTTAAATTAGCTATCGTATCTATTCAACTATTAAAAAAAGAAATTTTCCTTATATACTCGAGGAAATTTTAGGTCCTTTTAAAGTTAAACTATCTGACATATTTAATACATTATTTCTCTATTCGTATTTTTCTTTAACGCATCTTTTCTAATCTGCAAGCAAAATTGGACTTCTTCACTCATAAGTTTTATTCAAAGGAATTCCTCTCTTGTCATTTCCGTTACTTCCATCGCATAAACGATGTTATTTTACGCACATTCTGTAATAGAGAATGACTGAAGAGATGGATAAATCTAGAGAACTTTATTCCAAATCTGTAGTTTCCTGGAAACATAGTTTAAGTTACAAAAGACTCGACGTAACAAAGTCCATGATAGGAAGTAAAAAAGACAGGAAATGATTTCTAACTCGTTTTCCTTCACGACATAAACTGTCACTCTTTCTGGAAACGTATTTTCTATTACAGCATCCTCTGCCGTTAATGGAGTATCGATCAGTATAGAAGTGAGAGGGTTACAAGCTCCTTCAAATACTTTTTACTAACCTCACAGGTATACGGACTTCATGCACAAGAGTGCAAACGGAGGGAGAAAAAAAGGAGGATTTTGAACTAAAAAGAAACTAAAAATAGAATTTGCTCCTGCCTGATAGAAGGAAATGGGTGTGAGAAAATCGCATTCGATTGAGTAAACAAAAGAAATTGATCATACTCTTTGGCTAAATTTATTTCCAATTTTCTTCGAATCTGAATATTTCATTCTTTGTATGAGATTTCAAGCAAACGGACTCGAATAGTGAAAAATCAATTTTTTTCTCAATTAAAAGATAATTAAAATTAAACATCTTGATATGCGTAATCACAAGAAAATTAAAGAATAGAAAATTCATTTACTATTATGTTCATTTTTATATTTTTATATCTATTCATTAGAATAATTAAACTTTATTTTAAGTCAATGTCATATTCTATATTGTAAACTTGGAGATAGAATACAGAAGAAATGCTATTGATTATTTAAAATAAAAGAAATTGTTTTCTTAGTTATATCGTGACTGTTTATGTTTGTCTCTATAATATTATAAATATTGACAGATGAAATATAACTGAATATTGCGTTAATATATAATCTTCTGTAAGCGTCACGAGACATTTAATTAAATTACATTAAGTCAAATAGTAAATATTCTATTAACATATATGCTTTTAATTCATTATATAATAAAATTCTAAAATTCTATATTTTTTAGTGTAATTAAAAAGAGGAACTTATGCATTAAATTGAATTTATAAATGAATTTTGATAATGCTTTTATCTATTTTTTAAAATAATTTTACAAATTTTATATTGGATAATTTAATAATTAGTTTTCTTTTCGCTCGTTTAAAGGTTTTCTTTTTATAATAAAATTTTATAAATTGTGCTTTTAATTAAAGAATTGAAATTAATTATTCAATTCGTTAATTAATTGAATAAACTTTAACCTATTTCTAACAATTATAGATTTTTCTAGCAAGTTTCTTAGTTACTGAATTTATCTGAAAGACGTAAAGAAAATCATCAATCAAATTAGATATCCAGATAATCCTTGATCCTCTTAACCTTCTTTCTCAATTTCTTTCTAGGTGAAATAGTTTCCAAAGAATTATGTCTGAAGGATAGTTTGTTCACATTTACAACCCTCCGAACATCATGTTGAAGGCTAATTTACATTAATTGACATATTAAAAATCCTTCATATCAATCATGATTTAAGTAGATTACAATTACCATAATTTTTTCTATCGTATACATAAAATAATATCGGAAAAATTTAAAGAAAAGAAATTAAAAAAAGAGTTTAATGTGACGAAAACTCATTAAATACAATTCGATAATCGAAGTCGAATTTAAAAATTCATTTAAAATAATCATTATAAATTAAAATGATATTTGGTTAATAATAAATTTACGATGGTAGAAACCAATATTCTGATTATATTGATTTTTAGCTATGAATTTTCTATTCTTTTAAAATTTTATGATGCTAATAAAAGAAATTTATGCTGATCTCTTCATGTTAAGAAATAGCATTCGGCAAACTCAAATCTGCGAGACAAATCTTCCAACCGAGAACTAATTTAAATTAACAAGAAACTTAATGCATACTTGCAGTCGAAGCAACATTGTCTTACCGCATGTTTGTTAACGGCTAGTAAGAGAAAAGAAATTTTAATTATATTTGCAGTAACTTAAGACTTTACTGATATCATGATTACAATGTTTTACAATATTTAAAAAGTTTATTTTAAAGATTATTATCGTGTTATTAATGATACTCTATTGTTATCTTCTTCTTAGAATAAATAAACTTATTTTTGTATGTTTTAAACATTAAAAATCTTAGAAAAACTTTTACATAAACTAAGAAACATTCAAATATTTCTCTTTTTATCCTGTACGGTGTGAAAATCTCGAATGACTAAATCGTTGGAGTATAACTTTTGAATTAAGACTATAGTTAAATAAAAGATTTAGGAAAGAAAAACAAAATGGATAGATATAAAAGGATTATAAGAAATTGGCTAGTCGGTACCAAGATTTCTGTTAGGATTCTTTCTCTGGGGATAGGTAAAACATCGCATCAATTCATCTCGAAATAAAAAAAAATAAAATAAAAACAGAATAGCTAGAGAAATCACAAAGCTACATTTTGAGTGTGTAATGAAATATCCTCTTTTCTGCCATCTTCACTCAAAATGAAAACTTGATGAGATTATGTCTTTATAAATAATATATCTTGGACAGTTTTTTGATATAGTTTCTCTCGATTGTTTCTTCTCATTTCAAAAATGAAATAAATATATTCTTTAAATGGACATAACTGTATTTACATTTTCAAATTTATAACTGATAAGTGTGATTTATATTAAATATTTTTATTTAAACAATTCAAATTTTGAACATTTTCACGAATGTAAATTAAGCATTTGATCAGAATATTTGTTTTGTTATGTATAAATGCCTACTGATGTCATTACATTATTTTCGGACAAAACAAGTTAACAAATGAAATTTTATAAATCATTTAATATTGTCTTACTCTATCACTTAATACTTTGTACTTAATTGTTTTGCTCATTATTGTAACTAACTGTTGACATAAGATTTTACAGTGGAGAAGAAACTTAAACTTTTAAATATCAATTATATTAAATGATATCAGTTTTCAACATTATTTACAACTAACAACAAAACCTATTAAAACGTTAAACGCTGTTCTTTATTAAATCTACAAGTAAGAAAATAATTAAAATGTAAATTACAATTATAA